AGCCTTGGCCCCGAGGCGCTTTGTGTTTGTTACTGTTTGGTGTGTTGCACCCGCGAGGGGATCAGAGAGACAAGAATTACATCTTCAAAATGAGTCATAACTCCTGACCGTATGAGGGAATGCACGCGGCGGTACAGTAGGCTGTTTGACTCAGGGCTAGGCGGACCCCTTCCTCCGAAAAGTCCTCAGCCCGGCTCGGGAACTTGGGGTGAGGCGAGGCTTGCTTTCTCTCCCATCTTGCCCCCCCCACCCCAAATTCCCCAGAGGAAACAAACACACAAACAAATAACGCGAAAGAGCCCCAGATGAAGTACACTCTGGCAATTGATAATACTAATTATAGGAAGCCCAGTCACCCCGCGCCCCCTCCCCTCCCCTTTCGGAATTTATCGAGGCACTGTCTCTTCCTCCCCCACCCCACCCCTCAAATTAAGATTCCTGGTTTCATGCCGCAATAAGAAATATAATCACAAGCCTCTGTGGACACTGCCCCTCTAGCCACTTTGACAATATTTACTTAAGTTTCCCCCCCACACACACACCTCACTCACATACAAGCTTCCCCACCTTGGTCCCCTTAAATAGTTACAGTAGAAAAACATTTTTTTTTTTTTTTTCTTCCTCAAGAAAGGAAAGAGAAAGTCCAACCGGAACGGCAATACATTTAAGCTCTCCTAAATGATCGTATCATTTCTGGCTTCGAAACTTTTGTACCTAAAAATCGAGAGAGGCGCTGCATTTTTTCAGCTGAAACTGTCAAAACTTGGAGAAGGGGAACCTCGGAGGCAGGCAGGAGAGGAGGAGAATCCTGAAACTCAGTGGAGGTTGGGAAGATGCTGTGCCTCGAGGATTAGTTTAAACAGGGGGCTATAAAAGATGTAACAGATGCAAACTGGAACACAAGGGCCATTAACCCTTTCTCTGCCAGCACACTCAGAACCCACGCCCCATACCTATTGTCTCCTGAGCTAGAAGCTTTTCGGAAAACCTGGAAAGTGAGTATCAGTTTCCACACATTTGCTGGGGGGGGGGGGGGGGGGCGGTGCAGAGAGAAGGGGAAGTGGATGTTTTAGAAAGCACCTTAAATTTAACCTAGGCAAAGAAGGAGACTCTAACTTTGACACATTTTGTCATTTCTTGACTCTCCTATTGCTTTTAAATTGTTGGGAAAAATCCTGAAATAAAGAAATGGTCACACAAGTGTCTGGGATGAAACAGCTGGCCTGTCTGTATTCATGCTGAGACTTACACACGATCGCATATAAATACATGTTTAATAAAGTAAGCTGCTAGTTTTATGAGCATGTGTGTGTGAGGGAGAGACAGGGCATTTGTGTTGTAAACTTTATCTTTGCATGTTATTTCTTACTCTGGAGTTAGTAATCTTGCCCTCATCATCATAATATATAAGTAGGTGGGAGATAAACATGTTTGTGTTAGCCGAGCTCACCACTGTTCTTGGGGACTCCTGGTATCTCTCTGGACTTTTCCAGTGCTAAAGTATGGAATGTAATTGTGTGTATATGTGTCTTATGTTATATCCATGTCTCTATGACTTTACCATTTAAACACTATTCCAAAAGTTATCCTTAATTTTAAACCCTGATATCCTGACAGCAGTGTGATCACCCCCCACTTTGGTAAACGACTCAAGTTCCATGAGGACTTTCACTTCTTTATTTATGATCACAGAAGCTGAGGTGTTACTTCACACACACACACAAAGAATGAAATAAAGAAATGAAACTCGCTAAGCAGACAAAAACAGGCAACTTTCTGCTTAGAAAACAGTCTCCTCCGCTGGGAGACGATGGACTGCCATGCTTAAGAGAAAGACTTGCATCTGAATTTTGCTAGGTCTGTATTGATCAAGTTTTGTAATTATTAACAGGTATTTGCCAAGTTTTAATTGCTGAATATAATGAATTGGAATTAGATGTGAAAATTGTGCAGAAATCCTCCCCTTGATGAGCTTTTATTCTAGCCACATAGTTCTCAATAAAACTTTTCCTAGCCTGGGTAGCAAAAAGCACCTTTGGTTACCTGAATGGACAGGTACAGAGCAAATTATATGGAGGAGGAAAAAGGGAGGAAAAAGGAAGGAGAGAGAGCAAGAGTGCGAGAGGAAGCAAAGATTCCACTCTTGGGAAAAGCTTGCCATAAAGGAGTCAACCCCACCTGAAATTCCTACCCACAGACACCCCTTGTCACTTCAGACTCATATCCCCACTCCAAAGGAGAAAATCAGAAAAGAAGGGTGGGGAACGAGCACACCAAAAAAAGGGATAAAAAGAGAGAAAGGGGAAAAAAACCTACCTGCGAAGTCTTGTTTGTAGTTTTGGCCAGAAATGGTGAGAAGAAAAAGCATGAAGAAGCCGCGAAGTGTGGGGGAGAAAAAGGTGGAAGCGAAGAAACAGCTCCCGGAGCAAACTGTACAAAACCTCGCCAAGAGTGTTGGGAGGCAGGACCGTTATTCCTGCGGAGCAGGTTAGAACTGATCTCTTTCGGCCACTCCAGGAAACACAAACCTGGGGACGGACTGACGTGTTACGCCTCTTCTAATGACATTTTTTTCTTTTTCTTTTCTGTAGGAGAGAGAGGAGAGACCCTGAAACACGCGCCACCTATCTTTGTGGGGAGGGATAATTGAAGCGCCCTGAGCGTGAGCATCATGTGAAAACGTGATCGCCAAGTTTCTCTCTGGGAAAGGATCTGGGATAGATTATACCTTGAAGTCTCCGCAAACGCTTTAGTGGAAGAAATGAAATTCCACCTCCCTCCCTT